ACACACTTACGGAGGGTTTTGGATGAACCCTTATTTTTTTCATGTAAAAAAAATTCTTATATAGTTATAGCCCAGCTGCTTATGGTATTTAACGTTTTCTACATAGTCTACATTCTTCTGACGAAGTATCACTATTAGTATTAGCATGTTTTGGCTTGAAGTTGAAATAGTCACATGCAATGGCTTATGTTGACACCCTGTAATTGGAAACCTGAAGTGGTATTGCTACCGTCAGGTTTTGTATTTGTAGGCCTGAGATACTGGCTAACTGCTTAAAACTATAACTTATTATAACTATAAGCGTACTTCATTGTACCAAATATCTTTATGTAACTGAAACTCTTTGCCACAAAGTTCATGTTCATATGAGCGTTCGGCATCTACTTGCTCTCCGCCAGCTGAATAATTACCTCAGGTGTACAAAAACCGAAGTAAGAAGACCAAGTGATCTAGCTTTAAGTTTAATGCATAATCATTATGACACTACTATCAACAGTAACATGTTATTTCAGTAGTGCATCCATGTCCGTATGCGATAGCCAATGATTCAGATATCTAATCTATTGTACTATTATTGTATACAGAGTTGTTTAAATTAGTAATATAATTTAACAACTAATAACTACTTTGCGTGTAGATAGTACAGTACTTTACTATAATAAAACATACATATTTAGCTCCCCATGTAGTGTTTTACAACAAAATGATGATTTGTTGCCTTTTTATGTGACGTTTGTGGATTTTACTTTTAATGTGAACAGCTATACAATTGTTTAACTTTAAGCTATATTTCATGCAAAATAGCTTCCAGATATGGTCATAGCACCCATCTTTTTACAAATTTTCTGGAGGTACGCTTCCAGACCCCCATAGCATTAGCATGCTGATTCAGTGATTCGCACAATGTGTTAGCTTTTATTATATTATATAGTTTTAATCTCACAGATTAGACCCCACTTTCATTTTCAAACATTCTGCGTACGGACCTGCCTATCACTATACGAGTATTAAAAACTATTATTATTATAATATTAATAACATTGGTGTAAACATAGATGTAGTTAGTAAAACACATTTATACACACACATTATTCTATACTATTAATATTATACAACACTTAATTTTATCACCTTCTTTGTAATATACAACTTATAGTTTTACTAGTAATACTATTTTAGTACGTTGTAATTTAGTGTTACTAATAGTAATACTCAGTTGCAAGTTCCAGAACATTTCTCGCAACGCTAAGACGAAATAGTACTGGCTGCTGGTCAAAGACCTCTTTGTGAAAAACGCGCCAAAATAACCGCCACTTAATCAGTTTATGCATATCGAAGATAACGTTTCTGAACTCGTTTTTTTTTTCTCCTTACACATGGATTAAAACACAGAATAACGAAACTGTATTTGAATCAAACTTACCAAGAAATATAATTCGTTATACTTCAGACGATCAAAATGCTTAATAATACTGCAGAAATTAGAATACTGATATTGATACACCCAGGAACAAAGGTACGGTATGTTCGTCTGCGCGTTAATGTACGGGTACACTTTCAAAGCCACGTTTCTAAGCGCCTACACGGGGTTTTCGTATTGGCTGGAAGATTTTCACTTGGACCACCCTTTCATACAAAATGAGAATATCCCGTAGAGAAACGAACGGCTGAATGGTTAGAAAAACGAATGGAAATTTCCATTCCTGAGATTTCTTCTTCCCTGCATCCCTTTAATGCTGAAGAAAACGCGGGAAGCTCAGAGGAACAATAATATCTGCCGTTTTCAGAATATCGCAATTTATTTACGTAAAAATGTAACAGAAAAAAATTAATCTGCAAAAACTTTATATGCTGAAGTAAGTACTTTTGATTTGAAAGTATAAATAACGTTTCATTTTTGGACGATTTCAATGAAATGATACAAGATGAATATGTATTAATATGTCAACCAAACTCTCTGCTATATGCAGTGCCGACGAGTCCTTTCGCGCAATACCAAGGCTCAGCGGGTCGGTGGAATACGACTGGCCTATTAGAGGTCTAGATTATTTGTATCATCAGTTGTTTAAACAAAAACTATAATAGGTGAACTAAATTAATTAAGTAAAATGTAATTATTAAAAACTTTATTTAAGTCATTCGTAATTCGGATTTACAGTAAGGATTAAAAACAATGCTATTTATTTACTTTTAACACCAATTATGTATTATTATTAATTTAATTAACTTTGCTATCGTTCAGAAGGACTGGCAAATCAGCAAACTAGTCAACTTGTTTCCAGAGCGATTAAAGCAACCACAGCGTCACCCCTGGTAATTCAGCGCTAAGTTTGAAGGTGTATATAGTTAAAAACCGGGGTTTGATACCCGCTATAAGCAGACCACAAATAGCCTATTGTACAGCTTTGCGCTTAACAACAAAGCGCAGCGTCAACGGGATAAAACTAGATTAGTAATACATAGAGCTTATGAGTGAAAGAAAATAGTAATAATCATAATATGTCTCCCACACCAGATCTGCCGTATCCAGTACAAACTCATCTACCCGTGTCAGGAGATGATGACAGGTTTTAATTTCACACGCCTCGTCAGATTTAGAGTTAGGTCTTTTAAACTATTTCTTCTCAAATTACAACTCTCTCTTTTTTTTTTACGATGCAAGTGGGACAAATAATGACAGTTCTTAGTTTTACAAGAAAGAAGGGCATTTGGTCAAGATAGGTTAAGACATGACAAAGTATAAATTATAATTGCCAAGAAAAGAAAGGAGTCAGTATACCTAAACTAGTTTCGTATGGTAGTTTACCTCGACACAAAACACTCTTTCGAAAGCATTCTTAGCTTTATTTAGTAGTACGTGATCAGTTAAAATTTAGTGTCAAATTAGAACAAGTTATACAACTTACAGTGGATACAAGTACGAAAGCACTTTTAATGTTACTAGAACATACATATGTATTTAACAAAACTTAAAATTTTGACAAAATTATGAGCAATAGAGCAGAAGTCTTAACTTGTACTTGGATATTGGTACTGTTTATATAAACTGGTATGCGGCCCTACTTTTAATAAAATTTACAAAATTAATAATCCGCAATACAGCACAATATCAATTTTGAAGGTAGACTATTTTCTCTGATGATCCTATTAAAGAACAGTTTACAAAACTAAAATAAAGTATACTATTCGAGAAATTATAATCTTAACATTTTGGACATGGTTCGATCAGGTGGTTATCAGAATTTGATGAATTATCTAACAAAATGAATAACTTTTTCTAAGTTACCACTTTTTAACGCAGAAGTAAAACTATTTTAAATAGTCGTAATTTTTTTTTATCTAACATAAAATTTCAAAATATATAACATTTAATTATTTTTTTACTCATGGTGGGTCTGAACTGAAGG